TTTGCAACAGAGGTGGTCTCACCCACAAAGCCTACAATATATACTCTGGCCCTTTACACAATACTTTTCTGCTGGCACCTGACAATCAAGCATTCTCCTTCCTGTAAACAAATTCCCTGATTCACATGATCTTCTCAAAATATGCTGGATCACTCCCTTGCTTGCCAGAAAAACTTAGGAAACTTCTCTTCTGCCTAAAGGACTTAGTCCAAAGGTCTTAGCAAACCAAACAAAACCCTTAAGGTACAATCCTGTACCAGGAATTAGGATTCTGTTCTGGAAATAACAGACTTTGCCATCACAGACCCTGAAGTTCAAATCCTGTGTTACTTAATAACAAAAGTGTCTTTAGCAAGTCACTCAACAGTACTGAGCCTCAGTTTCCCCACAGAAAAATGCCTCTTGGGCTCCCCTGGGAATTAGACAGAAAGGAGGCTTCTTGATGAATTTTGGTTCCCTTTCTTTGCCTCTCCAAGCCCATCCCCTTCACCTGCTGTACTTTGTGAGCATGAGCCATGGATGCCCCTCGCCTTATTCTGCTTGGTGCCTTTCAAATCCAGGGCACAAGTTTTGTTCAGCGTTCCAATGATATCATTTCTAAATACATTTCTAGAAATAAAAAAAGACCAAATACTCAATTATCATTCCAGGACATAAAAGACATGGTTAAGAAGAAATCGTTCCAGTTTTGAAAAGCCAGAACATGCAAAGCAAGCAAAGATTCTGATCCAACAGTTGCTCCGTATTCATCCTTTGACAGACAGCGGTTAATGCTGGCCCTCTGTCAATCATGTCCTGGGTACCGAATTGCAAAGACGAGTTAGCCGCATGCAAAGCAAGCAAAGATTCTGATCCAACAGTTGCTCCGTATTCATCCTTTGACAGACAGTGGTTAATGCTGGCCCTCTGTCAATCATGTCCTGGGTACCGAATTGCAAAGACGAGTTAGCCACAAGTCAACCTTGCCTATACTATACACCTTAAAAAGTCATACATAATGAAAAGATCATAATAATCTAAACCTTGCCTTCCCCCCACAATGTATGAAAAACTGAAGTCAATTTCAAACGTTCTAGATCAACCAAAGTCAAATGCTGATCTTATTAATTAAACGAAAAAGAATTCTGAAGTGACTTTTAAATGCATATATATTTATATTTTATGTAGTTGTAGTTATATTTAAAACTACAGTAGCATAAGTATCTATTAAAATGTGCACAAAAAATTAAAATAAAATGAGCTTAAGAGAGGCAATAACCTTGAAAATGACATCAAACAACGAGGCTTGGACCAGAAGCCTAGAAACCTGGCCTTGCCACCAAGTAGCTGGGGACCATAGCCCTGTCATATACGCTCATAAGTAAGAGAAAAATTGATCTATGAAATCCTATCTAGTTCCAAATAGGCTTATTTTCTAATTTCAAAGGCACCAGCATGACAGAATGTTTTGAAAGTAATAAAACACATTGTATCCACCAGGGGGCAGATCATGCCCAAGGATATCTCAATAAGGCTACTGTACCTAGCAATTTTTACTTTTAAACCTAAGTAGCTGGGGACCATAGCCCTGTCATATACGCTCATAAGTAAGAGAAAAATTGATCTATGAAATCCTATCTAGTTCCAAATAGGCTTATTTTCTAATTTCAAAGGCACCAGCATGACAGAATGTTTTGAAAGTAATAAAACACATTGTATCCACCAGGGGGCAGATCATGCCCAAGGATATCTCAATAAGGCTACTGTACCTAGCAATTTTTACTTTTAAACCTAATTTTCACTTAATTCCCACAGCCCGAACCCCCAAAAAAAAAAAAAAAAAAAAAAAGAACTGCTGGAAAGAGCTATTAAAACTAAAACACATTTTAATGAGAAATCTATTCTTAAAGTCTGTTTGCTGAGCTAATTTAGTTAAATACAGTTACTCCTTTCACGTCAGCATTACATAATAGGACCTCTCTGTTTGGGACCTACTCCCTCCCCAACCTCCTTATTTTTAAATACCACAGTCTTTGGCATGAAAATGCCAACCCCCTTCCATTTTATTATACACACATATATACACACACACAATGATCTCATTTAATTTTTCACTTTTTTCCTAGGCTGCTCTGTCTAGCAAGTGATATATTAGTCATTGGTCCCATTTTCTCCACTAAAAGTAATAAACACAAGGAATTATCAATGGCAAACATTTAGGTACTTATCTATGGACAACAATTTGATCTTCTTAAAATAAGAATGGTTCTCTTTCTCTGTTAATCTTACTTATATTCTGTATGATGAAATAATGATCTTAAATTCTAACTTCTAAACTTTTATGAAGCCATCTAAAGAGCCCACAAAGAGTGCTTCTAGTCATAAGTCAAGTGATTTCATTGGGCATGTGACTTAAAAGCTCTGTTTCTATATTAAGCAAGCAGCTTTAATTTTGATGAACTGCAAGTTAGAATGATCTCTGTTTGCCTAACTGAATACGTGACAGTCTCTCTACCCAAGTTGTTCCCACAGTGAATACATTAGCACTGCTAGGTGATAAAGAGCACAGCTGCCACATGCGTCCCTGGAGAGAGAGAGAGACTGGGACCAAGACTGAGACCCAGAGGCAGAGGGAGGAAGAGGAGGAGGGGGGAGAAAGGAGACGGGGGGGGGGGGGTATTAGTCTGTTTCTGTTGCTTATAACAAAATACCTGAAACTGGGTGATTTATAAAGAAATATGAAATTTATTGCTTACAGTTTCTGAGGCTGGGAAGTCCAAAGTCCATCTGGTGGTGGCGACAGTGACCCAGGGGTCTCACATTGCAAGATGGTGGAAGCAGAGAGAGCAGAGACAGACTCTCCTGCCTCTTCTTTTAAAGCCCTCAGAACCACAGCCCTGACCACCATTTTTAATCCATTCAGCACGATCCTACAATCCAATCACCTCTTCAAGGCTCCACCTTTCAATGACCATAATAGGATTTCCCACCTTCTTAACAGTCACAGTGGGGGCTCAGTTTCTTTCTTTCTTTCTTTTTTTTTTTTTTTTTGCCTTTTTCGTGACTGGTAAGGGGATCACAACCCTTGGTGTTGAGTCGCCCGCACCGCGCTCAGCCAGTGAATGCACTGGCCAGTCCTATATAGGATCTGAACCCACGGCGGGAGCGTCGCTGCGCTCCCAGCACCGCACTCTCCCAAGTGCGCCACGGGGCCGGCCCTCAGTTTCTAATATGTAAAACTTGGGGAACAAAATTCAAGCTTCAGTGAGTTTTGGGAGAACATAATTCAACCCACTACAAGAGGGAGGGAGGATGGATGAGTTCAATCATTCACATACATGTAATTCCCATGTTTAAAAAGCAAAGACTCACTAACAAGGATAATGAGTAAAAACTGCCAGTAAGAAGAACACACTTCCTGACAGTCATTTGTGTGGCACCTGTCGGCATCATTACAGAGCATCCACATCCAAGGGCCTGATAAATTCTTGACAACACACCATAATCCTTCAAAAGGCATGAGCCATTATTTCTTACCTATCTTCATATACCACATGATACAGTGTGAACACATTTTGAATGTCTTTGGTTAGGGAGACTCTCCATTTCCCTTCCCTGGGCTTTCAACAAGGGGCCTCCCAAGCTCCCGGGTGCCCCTCCCCACAGGAGCAGCAGTGGCTTCTGTGATGGGTGAGCTGGGAGAAAGGCCGAGCATGCTCAGCTCAGGCCCTTCCAGTCTGCTCTTTATCTGGGAATTGATTTCCCACAGTCATCATGGTCACCAGTTACCTGGCTGTACCCATGACCAGGTGGTTCTGTCTACAGTGTCAGCAAACCTAGCTGGCTAGAAGTCTAAAGCTGACATATGGCTCTCCATCTGTCTCCGGTGTCTCCTGTGTCTTACTTCCATCAAAATGGAAATCTGGAAGGGAACGGGGTCTTTTCATTATCTTTCCCCAAATCCAAACACCCCTTTCCTTTCTTCCTGAAACAATACAATAATTACTTGCCACAAGCTGGACTAGAAAGTCATCTAAAACATGTCAAAATCTTGTTTCACACCAATGGTTTTAGTAGGCTCTCTCCTCAATAACAGGCATGTTCTATGAATGAATGGCTGGAAGGACAGATGAGTGAAATGCGTGGCCACTCCATGGAAACCTCACTCGGAGCGTCATTCGCCACCTCTGCTCTGCACATTGTCCAGTGTATTGCTCATCACTAGAACATTAGTAATTAATAAGATCTAATCGCTGTCACTAGAATGTATGTGATGAGATCAATTTAAATGAATGATAAAAACTAAAAAACATTTTAAAATATATATTCTACCACTTTTTGAGACAGTTCCTAGTAATAACGATTTTGATAGTGGGGATCCTAGCACTTTATTTTAAAAAATGAGCAAGATGGCTGAAATAGATATGCCAAGTCCCTTCACCCACACCAAAAAAATTAACTGAAATAAACATGCCCTTGTATCATTCCTTAATACACACATAGTTAATCCTCTTTTCTGTAGTTAATCGAATTATTAAAAATGCTTAAACTTGGGAGTTTATCCTACTAAAGAAAGAAAGAAACCTTGTTCCAATATCCAAGCACTCTGACCAGCATTCTAGAATATGGAAAACACTTTAAACCTGAAAGAACTACGCAACATTCCCTTCAACAGACAGAAGGACGGTGCCTCGAATTTGAAATAAACCAAAGAATAATGAAGGCAATGAAAAAAAGAAAAAAAGGAACAGAACGGAGTGATCATTCTGAGGAAAGAGACCACCTGACCCACCTGCTTTTCTAAGGGAGCTGGTCCCTCCTGTCCCTTGAAAGCTGCGGTCATCAAGGCGTTCAACACAGAAACGCCACCTGAGCAGCTCAGGTGGTTGCAGAAGACGTTTCCCGGGAATGTTGGGAGCGGGTTTTGTGCTGTGGGCCGGGGGCGGGGAAAGCCCGAACGTCCCGAACCCAGCCCACCTCCGCGCACGCGCACGGGGGGGGTGGGGGCGGGGGGGCGTTACCTGATGAGGACGCACTGGTTGTCGTGGCGCTTCCACAGGCAGCGGTAGCACTCGTTGGCGATGGCGAAGATGTGCGGGGGCAGCTCGCCCAGGTGGCACCTGCTGTAGCGCTCCATGGCGGCGCGCTCGTACAGGCCGGCGATCGGCTGGTAGGGGTTCACGGAGGCCAGGATGGAGCCGATGGATGTCTGCGGGCACACGGGGCGGGGACACGGGGACAAGGGGCTGCGTCACACACAGCGCCACGCTCGGGGCGCCCCCAACGCAAACCCCCGTCTGAGCTCCCACAAAACCCACCCGGGCGTGCACCAAGAGGAAAGGCAACCTCTGCTTTCCCTGAACACACTGTCCCCCTCTGCCATTTTTTGGTACAAAATCGTGACATTGTGTGCAAATGAATGGAGCCATCTCTCAAAAAGGGTGTGCGGTGAAAGGTAAACCTGAGAAGGAAGATGGTGAAGGGGCCCAGGCCCAAATCCCTGTTCCCCGGGGACCTCCCAGCTCTAATCCCTTCCCTAGCACAAAGGACAGTCCAGTGCCAGCCTCCTTCCTCAGCAGGGCCATTATGAAACAGCAGGGTTAAGAAGGTAACAAGAGAGACAACGTAGAGAGAGGTAACTGGGGCTCAGGGGAGGGGGAAAGGCGACTTAGGGTTTCAAGGGGACAAAGTTTCAGTTTGGGATGATGAAAAAGTTCACAAGTTGGTTAGCAGCTACGGATTTACAACACTGTGAATGTACTCAATGCCACTGAATTGTACACTTAAAAAAACCAGTCAAAATGACAAAGTTTATGTCACGTATATAGTTAGCTACAGCTATTACAAGGTAACAAGACCATGCTGAAGCGCTAGGTAGACTTTCAGTAATCTCAACACCTCATGAAGTGCCACATAACTTATCTGGAATTTACATGATTGATAATCTTACCTTTCTGGGGCCATAATCCAGGCCAGAAATTAAGTAAAATCTACAGAGCAGCCAAACAGAGGCTACAGAGTTAGCAAAGATTAATGGCTTCAGTCCCCTTCATGTGAATGTTAATACTTGTACTGCTGCAAGAAATGTTAATGCGGTTTCCTGGGTTACCTGGTTTCCAGGCTCCGACACAACTGCGGAGGCAAACCAGGCCCGGTGGCAGCGCAGCCCTGCAAGAACCACCAGCCAACTTTTATGGAGCGTGTGCACTGTGCCAAGGGCCTTACAGGGTGTTATGGGCTGATCTGTGTCCCAACCCAAATCCATATGTTGAAACCCTCACCCCGAGGACCTAAGAATGTTACTATATTTGGAGACAGGGCCTTTAAAGAAGTGACTAAGATAAAATGAGGCCTTTAGGGTAGACCTTAATCCAATATGACTGGTGTCCTTATAAGAAGAGGAAATTTGTTCACAAGAAGAGACCTGAGGGATGCACCCACACATATGCAGCAAGAAGGCAACTGTCTGCAAGCCAAAGAAAGAGGCCTCAAGGGAAACCAAACCTGCTAACACCTTGATCTTGTACTTGCAGCCTCCAGAACTGTGAGAAAATAAATTTCTGTTGTACAAGCCACCCAGTCTGTGCTATTTTGTTTTGGCAGCTGTCACAAACTGATACATGATGGGGCCTGACCCATTTAAACCTCACAATAACCCTATGAGGTTCACAGTATTACTGCACCTATGTTTTCAGATGGGGAAACAGACATGGAGAGAAAATTTTGTAGTCACACATCTAATAAGTGGTAAGATAAGATTTGAACCCAGGCAAACTGATTCCAGAGACTTCCCTACACATTCATTGTTAAGGTGCAGCTATTCAACAGGAGAAGAAAAAGCAAAACTAGACAGAAAGTTCAAACATCCTGAGAGCATCTGCAGCACATTACAGCAATGTGTAGTAATTTATATTCATAGTAACTGCCAGGAACATCAAGCAGAATATTTTAAGTTCAGTACAACTTTTCAAATGTAAGGAAGTCTATAATATGTTTTGGACATAATTTGAACCATAAAAGGTTAAAAATATAAAAGATTACCCAACAATTCCATTCCTAGGTACATACCAAAAAGAATTAAAAGCAGACAAACAAATACATATCCACCCATTTTCATAGCAGCGCTGTTCACAATAGCCAAAAGGTAAAAATAACCCAGAGTCCATCATCAGATCAACAGATAAACAAGTTGTGGCATATCCATACCATAGAACATCAGTCAGCCACAAAAGGGAATGATGTACTGGTACCTGCTACGATGTGGATGAGCCTTGAAAACATTATACTAAGAGAAGCCAGACACAAAAGTTCACATATCCAGAATGGGTATATCCACAGAACCAGAAAGTTGGTAGATGCTGAAGGCAGGGGAGGCGGGGATGGGGAGTGATTGGGTAATGGGTACACGGTGTCCATTTGATGTAATGAAAATATTTTGGAACTAGAGGTGTTGGTTGTATAACACTGTGAATGTTCTACATGCCACCAAACTGTATACTTTAAGGTGCTTAATTTTAGCTAAGTGAATTTCATCTTAATTAAAAAAAAAAAGATGTGGTGCTCTCAAAAGTAATGTTCAGATCCTTGGAAACATCAACTCTCCAGAAAGCCCAGCGTTTCCTGTCAGAGCACTGTGAGGAAGATTTGGCCAGAAAAAAAGAAGCTCCTCTTTTCCCTGGGGAAGGAAAGTGTCCTACTCTTGAAAAAGGATGTCATACATCCTCCATCCACACCTTGACCAACAGACATTCCAGTGCCTCCTTTAATATCAACTGTTTGTAAAGGAGCCATGTTGAGGCTACCAGTGTCTGGCCCCTTCCTCTACTGTGTTTAAAATGCCAGGACTGTTTTCTACCTTTTTGGTAGTTGTATACATTATTGCTTTTATTTGTTAAATGTCAAAAATGTTCATTTTTACTGTACAATATGCTCTTATTCTTTCCCTGCTTTGGCAGAAGTCAAGACAGTCAATACTATTCTTTATGTAACCAGGTAGGTCAACAGAGAAAGACCACACAGCCAACAATCAACATGGCGGCTAAGCTGCGCACACTCCAATCCTCTTCCTCAGTTACAAGTAGAACAGAAAAAAGCCACAGATAGGGCATTAGGTTGACTGTTAATCAATTTATTTTAATATTAGGATATTCACCCATCATTAACATACCTTGTTCAAAAATGATATGACCCTATCTTGCAAAGTACACATGCCCAGTTCATAACATGTTTGTGTGGTTTTTGTAAAATTCTGAGATGAAGCCTATTTTCCTAAAGTATTGATTTACTCATAAAAGCATCACTAATTCCAGACTCCTTTTTACATAAGCATTTTTTGAAAGAAT